GAAAACATAAGATTAAATTCATTAAAACGACGATAAAAATATATTTCATAACTAAATAAAATATTTGATTATATCTGTATAACTATGTGTATGTGTGTGTATGTGTATGTGTGTGTATGTGTGTGTTTGTGTGTGTATGTGTGTGTATGTGTGTGTATGTGTGTGTATGTATGTGTATGTATGTGTGTGTATGTGTATGTGTGTGTATGTGTGTGTATGTGTATGTATGTGTGTGTGTGTATGTGTGTGTATGTGTGTGTGTGTYTGTATGTGTGTGTATGTGTATGTGTGTGTATGTGTGTGTTTGTGTGTGTATGTGTGTGTATGTGTGTGTATGTGTGTGTATGTATGTGTATGTATGTGTGTGTGTATGTGTGTGTATGTGTGTGTATGTGTATGTATGTGTGTGTATGTTTGTGTATGTGTATGTATGTGTGTGTATGTGTGTGTATGTATGTGTATGTATGTGTGTGTATATGTGTGTATGTGTGTGTATGTGTGTGTATGTGTGTGTATTTGTGTGTATGTGTGTGTGTGTGTGTATTAAACAAATACATACTAGTATAATATAATAATATAAATTAAATTTTATTTTTTTATTATAAATGTATTAAAATAATGTATTATAAATTTATATAATCTTATATACTGTATATCACATTTGTGACAAAATTTTAACACTTGATATAATAAAAACATTAATAATATAAATACTGTATACTTATTCTTATATATAAATAAACTTTAATTTAGATTATAATTAAAATCATTGAATATTCTAAACTATGTTAATACAAATAATTTTTTTAATATTTAGATATATATATGTATGCATATAATATATATAATTAAATATAATAAATAGACTATATATATATAGTATGATTTTAATAATATACTAACTATTAATTTGTTAAAACAGTTTCAATAATCCAATCGATATATTTGGATACACGTGTAAAAAGCATATAAGCATTTGGATCGGTATTATGACAGTTGATTACCGGATCTGGTCCGGATGAACCTGAACTTACACCTATATGTACGGCCCGATCATCCATACCATTAACACCACTATTACCCGAAACATATTGAATCAATGGTCCTCCAGAATCGCCCTAATTATTATATAAATATTTAAAAAAACAAATTGTAATTTTTAAAAATAAAAGCCAAAACAAAACACATAATAATATTTGCTTAGTCATACACACTTACACACACTTACACACACACATACACACACCATACACACACCATACACACACCATACACATACATACACATACATACACACACATACACACACATACACAAACATATACAAACATACACAAACATATACAAACATACACAAACATATACAAACATACACAAACATATACAAACATACACAAACATACACACACATACACAAACATACACACACATACACACACATACACACACACATACACAGACATACACAAACATACACACACATACGCACACATACACACACATACACACACATACACACACAWACACACACATACACACACATACACACACATACACACACASACACACACACATACACACAAACATACACACACATACSCACACATACACACACATACACACACATACACACACATACACACACATACACATATACACACATATACACATATATACACACATATACACACATACACACACACGCATACAAACATACCTTACACAATGCCGGTCCTCTATTAGCCGGATATCTGATGCCTTGAATTTCTTTACTCCAAACATCAGTCCTGTTATTAAATGTCTTCAGAATCATTGACACACCCATTCTCAATGGTCCCGGACTACTGACTGACCCATCAATGTAACCAAAACCAGCAAACAGTGCCAACTCTTTATCGGTATTAACAATGTCTCTGTCGGGCAAACAAATACTGTTAACCGTATAATACCTGCCATTCATTGATCTTTGAATCCCTATATGACTATTCAGTTTCAATAGTCCGATATCATTGATATTTTTATCTTTTGGATAATCTTTATATTGAAACCATTTGTCGACACCGTATGTATGGCTTTCATCTCTCTTATCCTGAACTGTCCGAACAGTTATAGTAAAATCGGAACTAATAATAATAATAATCAGAAAAAATTGTTGAAAAAAATTAATTAAAACATTTTATTCCTATGATATTCCTATTAAATAAATAAATGATAAATAAAATAAATGTCTAAAAAACCTAATAAATAAATTAAATACTGTATTAATTTTAAATATCATTATTTTGCTTATAGGTTATTATATACCGTATACAATGTGCTGCTGTTATAATCCAATTGTGATTTAGTATAACTCCAGTACAATAAGCCCTATTTAAACAAAATTATTTATATTTTTTAATATTTAATTATTTTTTTTTTAAAATAATATTTATTAGTATCTAAACCATGCAGTGGGGATAAATCCTAGAAAATAATATGTAGAATAGATAAATACAATCCATGGCCACTCTCCCGGTTGAGCTAACCGTCCGTTTTGTACACTTGTAGTCACATTTGATGACCACTTGAAACAGTTTTTTGTAGTCAACAGTGACTGCCGTCCGATACCACACGTGTCGAGCGTTACGTTCGGATAGTGTTTGATCTGTGAGTGAATGCAAACACTGAACGACACCAATACTGATGACAACAATACTATTAATTAAAAAATATATTATTAAATATATTTAAGTTAAATAATAGACATGTTTTCAAAATAATCTTTTTATTTAACTTATATTTAAGTAAATAAATATACAAACATAATGTAAACATTTCATTCATTTTGTGTAATTTCAGTGATTTGATAACAACTATTACTTTTAAAAAATATTTGTGTTTTTTGTAATGTTTTTTTTATAAAGTATTAATAACTTATTATAGTCTTGATTATAATTAACATTATATTATTTTTTTAAAAACATTAAATATTTTTTTTATTATAAATATGTATCTTTTAATTAGTATTTATATAAAAAAATATATTAAATTTCTATTAAATCTAATGATTTATATATTAATAGTATATTAATTTACAGAAAAACAATACAATTTATTATCAATTTTATATAACACTATTAAATACTTAAATAAAAATAATATTGTTTGAACAATAAAAATTAAAAAATAGTTTTAAATTTCTTAATTTATAATTAATACTTAAAAGATATTTACATTATTCTATTGTATTACAAATTTAATAAAAAAAATATTTGATTATTATTTAATGTTTTTTTATAAACATTACAAATAATTTAATAATTAATTAATATAGAATATAATACTGTAATTTTAAAAATATTAAACTTAACAAATTTACATATATTGAAATTAATAATTTATTTACATATTTGTAAATTAATATTATATACATATTTTTTATTTATCAAAATTATTTACTATAATTTTCAAAAAAGCATCATATTTTTTTGTAAATAATTTATCATATTAGCTAAATAGTGATTTATATTTTAAAAAAAATAGATTTAAATATTTAAATAATATATATATTATTACAATTATGAACAATTATGACTAATAGTAATATTTACAAAACATATTAGAAAATTTGTTAACTAAAATTTTATACAAATAATTTTGTTTTTTTTTAAAAAATCAATTAATAGTATTAATTTTTCATAAACAATAAGTTGTTTTAATATTATATTTAAAAAAATTTACTATTCTTAATACAATACATATAATTATGAAATAGTAAAATAAAAACAATTTTCATAACTATTAATATAACTAATAAATATTTATAAATGTATTGACAGATAATTGTTGTTAACAACAAAAAAAATGTTTATAAAAATATGAGAAAATTTGTTAACTAAAATCATAAACAAAAAAAATTTTTGTTATATTTTCAAATATCAGTTAATAGTACAGTATTTATAAATCACAATCAATATTGTTATAATAGTATATATTTTTACAGTATAAATGAAATGTGGTATAAATAAAAAAACATATAATTATTTAGTATTCAATTATCATTTAAAATACATGTATAAATAGTAGTGTTTTATGTAACAAAAAAATCTTATTAAATTAGATAATTTGTGCAAAAATTATTAAGTTATTTAAAAATTCAAATTTTTAAAATAATAAAAATTTTTAAAAAATTATAGATATGTTATTTAACATTACAACTGAAGGTATAGTAGATAATAATATAAATAATATAATACTATTGTATTTGTATTTAGAAAATCATAATAAGTAATAAAAGTTATTATTATTTTTAAATTTTTTTTATAGATATCATTAATGTTATGATTAATACAATTGGTTTTATTATAACTATCACATCCACTGACAGTCAGACAACACTTACCGATAATTATACACAAATTAATTCAAACATAACAACAACAACAACCGAGAGTAAGTAAATAAAAATTTTAAAAAATCAATAATATATTAATAATTACAAAAAATAAAAATCTTATTAAAAAAAATTGGCTGCACTTTGATATTTGGGCCGCGCCGGAGGCGGGGGTGGGTGGTATAGGTAAATAGTACTTGATGTCTAGTATACATATGTAAAATATAGGACATCGCAAACTAAAGGTTAAAAAGTTATGAACTTATAAAATAAAAAAAATATTTTTTTTGAAAGACTTTTTTAGACTATCCTAACCTAACCTAACCTAACCTAACCTAACCTAACCTAACCTAACCTAACCTAACCTAACCTAACCTAACCTAACCTAACCTAGCCTAACCTAACCTAACCTAACCTAACCTAACCTAACCTAACCTAACCTAACCTAACCTAACCTAACCTAACCTAACTTAACCTAACCTAACCTAAACTAACTTAACAAAACTAGCGGCCTACCGGCCGCCATAAACTTAACCTAACAAAAAAAAGTTATTTTATTTAATAACTTTCAAATTACAATTTATTTTATATACAGTATTAGAAATTACAATTTATTTTATGTACAGTATTAGAAATTACAAGTATTTGTAGGACACACATTTTTGATGTCTTTAATCATTTGGTCAAACGGATCAATATTATTGCGACGACAATCCCGGAACCACAGATATTCACATAAATGCATTGCTAATTGATCCCTACGATATCCTCTTGTTGTAAGTTTGTACTTCATCCATTTCCAGCTGCCTTCTATTGTGTTTGTATGAGCTCCAGTGACCGGATCCTTGAAGTGCTTGCTATGATTAACTGTCAAGTGTTTGTATCCATATTTTTCAAGTGACAAATAAGCCCTCCATTCATCTGTTATTATAGTAGTTCCGGGGGCCACATGTTTCTGAATTAATGGTATTAATGTGTCGGCATTTCTGAGCTCAAGTCTGTATCCGTTTCTATCTTTGCCTCTTTCAACCATTCCTAATATCCAATTTCCTTTTCTTAATCGGCCTTTCCAGTATTTCATTTTGCCTACAAGTGACTCGTCTATCTCAACTACTACACCTTCTCCGCCTATCATCCCTTCATTTTCATATTTCTGATCTAATGCGCACATACAGACTTCACGGCAGTAATTAAACCAATCAGCTACTGTTGTGGATGATGTCACTGAACCATCTATTGTTGTCTTTTTAATTGTTTGTTCATATGTCATTTGACTGGTAAAGGCGTACACTAATAGTACGGACTTTATGACTCCTGCTTTAACATTTTCAAACCATGTGCCTTTAGCTACGGATATATTGATGTCTCCCTTTCCGCTATGGCTGTTTCGACAACGATATCTACCTAAACCATGGTCTGCTTCATAGGTCATCGGTCTTTTACAGTTAGGACATTTTCTATTAATTGGTGGGAGATCTTTTTCTCTAAGCCAATTTAGGCAGGTATCTCTGTCTTTCAAATGAGTTGAAGCTAATATATAGATATTCATAATCTGTAAGTATAGAAACATACATTAGATAATTGAAACTAAACACTAAATTATTTTTAGTAAAGCCCCAGTAGGGATTCGAACCTACGACCTACGTATAAGTCAACTACTCTAACCACTAGCCTACTGAGGCTCTACAAAGAAAATATACTAAATTACTGCTATTTATATTTACTTTATATTAAAATTTTTTAATTAAAATGTTCATAACTCCTTAACCTTTTGTTTGCGATATCCAATATTTTATATATGTATATTAGACATCAAGTACTACCTAATTATAGCCCCCACCCGCGCCTKCGGCGCGGCCCAAATATCAAAGTCCTGCCAAAAAATTAATTAGATTTGTTTAATGAAACAACAATTACCAATAACTTGAAAATTACATCAACTATCAGTACAATTGCCGGTAATATATAATTTAATTTATAACACAATTATTCTATCTAAATGATTTTTAAAATAATAATAATAAATAAGTTTTAATATATATAATTTATATTCAATTTTATTTTTTAAAAAAAAATTATTTTTAGACTTAAATAATATGACAAATAATAATAACAACAATAACTTGAATATTACATCAACTATTAGCTCAGTTGCCGATAATTTCACACAAATTATTATAACTACAACACCATTGCGTAAGAAAAATATAATAATTTTTTTTTAAAAAAAAATAAATAAAAATATTTTGTTTAATTTAATTAATAATTTAATTGTATTTCTATTTCTAAGCAAATTATGATAAAATCATTGCAATCACATGGATAGCCGTTATCCTAGTAATGTTAGCCTTAATAATGTTAATATTTATAATAGTATTAGTTATCATCTATCAAAAAGTCAAACACAAACAAGTAATGACCGCACAGTTTACTAATCAATGGTATTATATGCATAACACTTGCCGACCAACTATTGATGATATCAATGATACATACATTTGATTTGATAACAACAATAACAAACTTCAGGTGCCGACCAAACATTTTGATTAGACATTTAATATACGACAACATATGATTAAATTCATTAAAACGACGATAAAACTTATATTTTATAAATAAATAATTTCATTATATCTTTAAAATTATGTGTATGTGTATGTGTATGTGTATGTGTATGTGTATGTGTATGTGTATGTGTATGTGTATGTGTATGTGTATGTGTATGTGTATGTGTATGTGTATGTGTATGTGTATGTGTATGTGTATGTGTATGTGTATGTGTATGTGTATGTGTATGTGTATGTGTATGTGTATGTGTATGTGTATGTGTATGTGTATGTGTATGTGTATGTGTATGTGTATGTGTATGTGTATGTGTATGTGTATGTGTATGTGTATGTGTATGTGTATGTGTATGTGTATGTGTATGTGTATGTGTATGTGTATGTGTATGTGTATGTGTATGTGTATGTGTATGTGTATGTGTATGTGTATGTGTATGTGTATGTATGTGTGTTATATATGTGTAAATAAATATAAATTATAAAATAAAAAACATTTTTATGTGTGTTATATATGTGTAAATAAATATAAATTATAAAATAAAAAACATTTTTTTAACTATGTCTTATAAATATTCATAAATATATAGATAAATATTATACTGTAGTTTACAAAAAAATATTAGTAAAAATTTTAAGACAAATATATTGTTTTCAAATCAATTATTAATAATATTATAAATGTTTTGATAAAATTAGTTATTTGTTTTTAATAGTACTGTATATGTAATTACATTATAAATATATTTTATATAAATAATATTCATTTAATTATTTTAGCTTTTAATTATCATTTAAACTACTTGATTATATGGTAATGTTTGTATATATTGTATATATTATATATATATATATATATATTGTAAATATTTTTATTAAAAATATATAATTGCTAAATATTTATAGACAAATTATTTTATTTTAAATTTCAATTTTACTATTCAATATCTACTATTTAATTAATGAATATTATATGGTTTTTTTAAATTAATAGTTTTTTATAGTATTTAAAAAAAATAATTAAACATTTATTATAAAAATAAAAAATTAATAATATAATAACAATATAATTATACTAAATTATAAAATGGCATTACATACACCTTATTATTGTATACGATATATAAATCTAATTTTATATTATAATTAATTTCATATAATATTTTAAACTAAGTTATACATAAATATTTTAAACATTAAAATATTAAAACATATATATATATATATATATATACAGTATATATATTATATATATACAGTATATATATTATATATATATACAGTATATATATTATATATATATACAGTATATATATTATATAAACTATATACTGAATATACTTTGATTTTAATATTATATAATAACTATTAATTTGTTAAAACAGTTTCAATAATCCAATCGATATATTTGGATACACGTATAAAAACCATATAAGCATTTGGATCGGTATTATGACAATTGGCAACCGGTAATGGTCCGTAGGAAGCTGAACTTACACCTATATGTACGGCCCGATCACCCATACCATCAACACTACTACCACCCGAAACATATTGAATCAATGGTCCGCCAGAATCGCCCTAATTATTATTATTATATAAATATCAGTTTAAAAACAAACTGTAATTTTTAAAAATAAAAGCTTAAAAACAAAACACATAATAATATTTGCTTAGTAATACACATACACATACACATACACATACACATACACATACACATACACATACACATACACATACACATACACATACACATACACATACACATACACATACACATACACATACACATACACATACACATACACATACACATACACATACACATACACATACACATACACATACACATACACATACACATACACATACACATACACATACACATACACATACACATACACATACACATACACATACACATACACATACACATACACATACACATACACATATACACATACACATACACATACACATACACATACACATACACATACACATACACATACACATACACATACACATACACATACACATACACATACACATACACATACACATACACATACACATACACATACACATACACATACACATACACATACACATACACATACACATACACATACACATACACATACACATACACATACACATACACATACACATACACATACACATACACATACACATACACATACACATACACATACACATACACATACACATACACATACACATACACATACACATACACATACACATACACATACACATACACATACACATACACATACACATACACATACACATACACATACACATACACATACACATACACATACACATACACATACACATACACATACACATACACATACACATACACATACACATACACATACACATACACATACACATACACATACACATACACATACACATACACATACACATACACATACACATACACATACACATACACATACACATACACATACACATACACATACACATACACATACACATACACATACACATACACATACACATACACATACACATACACATACACATACACATACACATACACATACACACATACACATACACATACACATACACACATATACACACATACACGTACACACATACACATACACATACACATACCTTACACAATGCCGGTCCTCTATTAGCTGGATATCTGGCGCCCATAATTCTTTTGCCCCAATCATCACTAATGTTACTAAATGTCTTTATAATCATCGACACACCCGTCCTCAACGGTCCCGTATTACTGACTGACCCATCAATATAACCAAAACCAGCAAACAGTGCCAACTCTTTATCGGTATTAACAATGTCTCTGTCGGGCAAACAAATACTGTTAACCGTATAATACCTGCCATTCATTGATCTTTGAATCCCTATATGACTATTCAGTTTCAATAGTCCGATATCATTGATATTTTTATCTTTTGGATAATCTTTATATTGAAACCATTTGTCGACACCGTATGTATGGCTTTCATCTCTCTTATCCTGAACTGTCCGAACAGTTATAGTAAAATCAGAACTAATAATAATAATAATAATTTATTAGTAAATAATTATAAATATAAAAAAAAATAATTTTATATTTAAATAAAAAAATATTGGAAAAAATTAATTAATTTTATTCCTTTGATATTCTAAATAAATAAATGATAATATATTTTTGTATATAATTTTTAATAAATTAAATGCTATATTAATTTTTAGTATCATATTTTTTTGCGTATAAATTATTATATACCGTATACAATGTGCTGCTGTTATAATCCAATAGTGATTTAGTATAACTCCAGTACAATAAGCCCTATTTAAACAAAATTATTTATATATTTTAATATTTCACTATTTTAAAAAAAATAAAACTATAATTAGTTTGTTAAACCATGCAGTGGGGATAAATCCTAGAAAATAATATGTAGAATAGATAAATACAATCCATGGCCACTCTCCCGGTTGAGCTAACCGTCCGTTTTGTACACTTGTAGTCACATTTGATGACCACTTGAAACAGTTTTTTGTAGTCAACAGTGACTGCCGTCCGATACCACACGTGTCGAGCGTTACGTTCGGATAGTGTTTGATCTGTGAGTGAATGCAAACACTGAACGACACCAATACTGATGACAACAATACTATTAATAATTAAAAATATTAATAATTTTTATTATAAAAATGTATTGTAATTTAAGTTTTTTTAAAAAAAAAGTTTATTTATCATATATAAATCATATAAAATTTTAACAAACATAAGTTTAGCCACATTTTCATTGTGATGTGCATTAAATTTAGTTTGCTATTTAAATAAAACTTATTAACAATAATTTTAATATATAACTTAATTATTGTAAACTATTATTATAAATATAGTAACTATTTTTTTTATTAGCAAATTTTTAATAATTTAATACTATTAGACTAGTTTTAAAACAATTTATTTTTAAAAAATAAAACTAAAATAGTTTTAAATTTCTTAATTGATTATTTATACTTAAAAAAAAAGTTATTTACATTTTTTAAATATTGTATTACATTTTTAGTGAATTATAAAACATATATTATTACTAAAATATATATTATTAAATATTATTACTAACAGTAATACAATATTTAATATTAGCAAAAATTTATTTTATGATTACTTATAAAATACACATTAATTAATTAATATATATTGTAATAAAATAATTAATACAAAAATACAAAAATAAATAAATAAATTAATTAATACTTTATGTATCAGTTTTTCATTAAAAAAAGCATTTTTAAATATATACCATATATTAATAATACATTTACCGATAATAAAAAAAAATTGGTACTAAAATCATAATAACTAACTAACAAAACTTAACTATAATATCTAAACTAATAATAATTAATTAATTAATTACTACAATATATAATGGCTTTTATTATAATATATCTTTTATAATAAAAATAAAACAAAATTATTGAATCAAATTAAAATAAATGAAAAAATTTTATTTTAATAATTATTTTGTTGTAGTTGTGTGAATACATATCAATTTTTTTTAAAAAAAAACTAATAAAGTAAATGAATGACAATATGAAAAAAGATTGTAAATTAAAAAAATAAAAAAATACTAAAATTTAATATTAAGTATTAAAACAAACAAAAAAATACTGTAATGAGTTGTTTTAAAAAAAAATTATTAGTAATTTAATAGATATATTATTATAATTATTATTATAATGATTATTATTATTATTATTATTATTATTATTATTATTATTATAATGATTATTATTATTATTATTATTATTATTATTAACTAATATAATAAAATAAATCATATATCATATATCAATACTATTTGACAATGATTTCCGGTTGATAATCATTATTATCATTATTACTATTATAATAATTGAAATATTTTTGATATTTTCTCAATGAATAAATCAAATAAATACTAAATGTAAACAAAATTATTTCAATAATAGCCGAAAATATATAGAAAACAATAGCATTGGTTATATTCAGGAGTAATAATCGCCAATTAGTTTCGGGACAGTTGTCTTCATCACCGGATAAATCATACGGTGAACAGTCTTCGGCTATTTTGATCTTATAATAGATAAGCGAACCGACGGTAAAAACTTTGAATATAAAATCCAGACCATCGGCTACGGCAAACGCCAACAACAATCGTACGGTCAGATAGTAGGCGGCGGGTATGGCTATACCGAGTACCAGTAGACCAGTGACTAGCGGTAGATAATGATACCAACGATAGGCGCCGAACAGTACGCCGATAGCGGTTAGTGAACAACTTATGACACCCGTAACGGCAATCGTATGGCGCATACATACGGAACTTGAGTCAAGCGATTGGTCCGACGGTGATTTGGTTGCGGTAGTATTGGTAGTACTGGTAGTCATAGCGCCAGTAGTTTTTTGTTTTGTTGTTGTTTCGGTAGTTGTTTTTAATCAGCACTTAATTATTATTATAATTGTTTGACTTAAATAATAGACCAAAAAAAAATTAAATTAAAATAAAATATATTTTTTTGGTTTGATTTTTTCCAATTATTATTTTCCAATTATTATTAATAATAACTAAAACATTGTGTGTTTTTTTGTATGATATTACATATACAGTTAGTAATTATAAGTACAGTATATATATATATATATTGTATATAATGTGTTTCACTCATAGCTAACAATAATTTTATTTTATTTTTTTTTGTTGTTTAATTAATCTAATCTTATCTATAATGTTAAGTCAATAATATAATAAAAAAAATTTCTATCATATTATATATTATACAACTTAACAGTATTTATTAGATTTTTGTTTTGTTTTGTTTGTTTTGCATTAAAATAAAAGTTAATTCAAATATATATATATATATAAATTATTGATATTAATTATATTTGATATTTATTTAAACTTCGCACACATTTTTTATTAATGAAATATTTTATATAAAACAAGTTTTTAAATATCAATTAATACTATAATTGATTGATTGATTGGTTAAAAATATTTATTGATTACTACTATATTATTTAATTGATTTTAAAAAACTGCATTTAATTAACTAATTAATTAAACTCCATTATATTTGTTTATTTATTTATTTAGTTAGTTATTACTTATTATAATTGTTATCATTTTTTAAATGTTTGTTATAAACTATTATTATTATTATTATTTAGTATACAATTAACAGTTTATTTTTTTTGCTGAAATATTTTTAAAAAATAATTTTTTATTTTATTTTAAAATTAATAAAAAAAATGAGTGATAATATTATATTTAATATAATTTGTCAAATATGCGGCCGCCATAAACCTAACGGTATTTAAAATAAATAAATAAAAAATAATAATTATATAACTTTACATAAATAGGCTATCATTTAGGTTGCGATTCTTGTAAATCATTTTGTTTTCAATTATTAATGTCTTGAAATATCAGGTATTTTCATATATTTTTTTTTGAAAATTAAATAATTAATTATTTTATTTTATAAATAAAATAATTTATAAATATATCATAATTATTAGTAAAATATAAATAAAGTTATTTTCTATTGTTAAAATAAAACAAATACAAGCAGACACTAACAATACATTACATGTTAAACAAAAACAATTTGAATAAAATATTTATTTTTTATTTATATATAGATTTTATCGAAACATTTTGCATATATTTATTTCGTAAAAAAATATTTGCAAATAAAAATTTATCATAACTTTACAGCAAATTTACAGCATTTAAATGAATAAATAATAATTTTACAAAATTAAAATTTTTTAAATGTTATAATGTATTTATCATCAATACTATTGTGATAATACACACATAGATAATAGATATTTTTTAAAAAAATTATAAATAATTTAATATTAATAAATAATTACAATAATAATAGTAATAATAATAATAATAAATATCCAACTAATTAATTAATTTAAATAGAAAATAAAAATTCACTATTGATTACATATAATATTATTTTTGTTTTGTTTTTGTAAATAAATTTATTAAATAATATTATTATTATATTATTATTATTATTAATAATTAATATTATACTCTAATTATTAGAGTCTAATATATATAAGTTACTAGTAATAGTTATAAGTATTATATAAGTTATATATATATTATTAAGTTAACCTAACTATTATTAACTATTATTAACTTTTATTAAGTTAAACTAACTAATGTACTAGTACATATATATATATATATATATAATTATTATAGTGTAGTACAGTATATAATTATTACCACAAAAAAATCACAATTAATTTTTTGTTTGTTATAACAAAAAAATAAAATATAAAATATTTTTATATGTTTGATGATAATCCTCGTGTAGGCGATCGGGAACGGGATCTTTTGCGTGTCGTTCCCGATGACGACGACATACGGACACTATTGATATTATATGTTTCAATCTCATCGTCGTCGTCGTCATCGGCAATAATATCACTGAAATTATGTCGACTAATATCCAGTAGACTATAGGTATCGTCAACACTACCTAAGCTACCGAAATAGTCGTATCGATGATTCATATATAGTATAACCGATAGGACAGCTGTCAATAGGATGGCCAACAATAGACCGACTAAAATATTTATGTTAACTATCAATGAAAACGATTTGATTGGTTCGATGCGATAGTGTAGCACTGGGAGGACAGTTAGCCCAGTGTAGACAAATAGTATAATTGATTTGCGGCTAATTTGTTGTTGTTTGCCAACTAGTATTGCGTTTAACAATTTTTGTATACCATAATAACCTATATATTGATAAATTAAGAAATTATTATTATTATCATGCATAAAAATGTAATTAATTAAAAAAAAAATTAAAAAATTATTATACCTAGCATAATTATGGGAAAATTAATTATGAATGTAATTTCCATTGTACTTAATAGATATCTACGATACAGATAACTGGGTTCATAGTAGTCGACTGGTCGGGCAATATTATCTAAATAGTGTACAGTATGTACTAGAGTACTGGCCGTATAGATGGCAATCAATGTATTTAGTAGGACTGTAGGGCCGATAGCCAGTCGGGCCAGTTTAGTATCCGACCAAACAAACCAAAATTGACGCCACTCTCTAAATTTGACTACAAGTGCCCAGAAAAATATGATAACTATGAATAGTATGCGTGCGGCCGATATATCGGCCAGATTTTCGTTGACCACAATCGGTTTGCCGTATTTTGATTGGCCAAAAATAGCCATATTTATTATTTTTTTAGTTAAAATAGTTTATTATATATATTTTATTATCAAGATAACTTTAAACATTAGAAATAATTAATTTGAATATTTAAATAATAATAATAATGTTTATTTACATATTATTATTATTAATTAGAAAAAATTTTATTATTATATTTATCTTATAAATTATCAATTGAAAAAAAATATATTATTATTTATTATTATTATTATTTAAAATAATAAATTATTAACATTATTTATATACAGTATATCAATTGAATTTTGATGATTGACTTTTATAACACTGTATATATAATTAGTTAAAATTATTATTATTATTATTATTACAGTATTACTAATATAACTACATATATTTGACTATTAGTTTTAGTTTTTAAAAAATAAAAATAAAATATTACTTGTAATTGATTGTCACTCTATGTGTTGAATGATTCATATAATTATTACAATAAATTATTAATTAATTAATTAATTTTACTCTTATTTATTGAATAAAAATTGTGTTATAATATATCAATATTTTTTTTAAAAACTTTTAGTTTATAATAAAAATTTGTTTGTAATAATAATAATAATAAAAATTTTAGTAATAAAACACTTGTTTGAAACAAAACAAAACTAAAAATAAAATTATATGAAACAACTTCAAGGATATTATTTAATTACAGTATTACTAATACAGTACTGAAAAAACAAAATATTATAATATTATTAATAATTATTATTATTTACAACTAATAACTTAAGTTATCTCAACAGCAAAAAAAAAGTTAATCACCAAGGTTGCCTATTTATTACAATATTATTGCTACTAAAACATGTACATTGATTTACGGCCATATTATTTTTGTTATATGTAATTTTATTTATAATAATTTATAATTACTTATATATGTAGTCTATTATGATATCTAATAGTTAATAAATTATTTTTTTTAAATATATATATTACAACAACAACAACAAATAGTAATAATAAATTATTAAATATATTTATTGTTTAATTTTTTTTTAAATTATTAAAAATTTATATAAAATAACCTAAATTTTTAACAACAACAAAATTTTTGTTTGTTTAATTGAAACACACAGTTGTAATGTCATCAACAAAAAAACTATATGACATTTAAATAATAATAATATTTATAACTATAATAATAATAATAATAATAATAATAATAAAAATATGACAAATAAGTTATTGAAAAGTAATAAAATCTGCGTAGTTTGTGGTGATAATGCAAAAAGTTTGTATTTTTAAATATATATATATATTATAAATACTGTATATAAATACTATATATATATACTGTATATTATATATATTGATTTATTATACATTAGTTTCTTAATTAAGTTTTATCAATAAATATAGTAATATATGTATTATAAATGTATTATAATTATAATTATAAAATCTATTATAACATTCAATGAAACTAATTACTAAACATTTTTATTATTTTGTTTTGTTTTATAAAAATAATTTTTATTTATTTATTAAACATTTTTATTTATTTATTTTTAAAAAAAAATTAATAAATAGGTTATCATTTTGATGCCCTAACATGTGAATCGTGTAAATTATTTTTTCGGCGCAATGTTTTGAAAAATGTTTGTTTAAAAATATTTTGTTTTTTTTAATAATAATAATAAAAATTATATAATAATATATATTTTTTATTTAACAGATTAATTATATATGTAAATCTGATAATACAAATAATACAAATAACTGTTTGATAACAATTGATACGAGAATTAAATGCAAAAAATGTCGTTTAGCTAAATGTTTTGCAATGGGAATGAAAAGTGTATGTAATTTATATGTATTAAACTATAAAAAAAAAAGTTTTTTTTTTGGTTTAAATTAATTTAATTTCTAATTATAATTATTTACTGAAAACTATTTTTTTCAACAAAAAAAAAACTTTCAAAAAAATTTAGTCCTTATTATATACGGAAGAGAAAAAACAATTAAGAAATTCATTGATTATTGAAAATAAAATGAAATTCAAGAAACAACTGAAACAAAGATCGACGACAACAACGACTACAACAACTGATGATAACAAACGGATCAGACATTTGGTGACAACTATTGACAACAACAACAACACTAGCTATTCATTAACGACCAAAACATCTACTGGAACTGACAGTTCAGAAACTACCAGTTCATCAAACAATGGATCCAATGAATCGACGACAACAACAACAACAACAACAACTACTCCCGAGATATTAGTGTCGGTATTATCTGAGCCGTCTATAGGCCGGCCAATTACTACCGCCGCTGCTGACAATAACCCGAATGACATACAGTTTAATCAATTAGAGGCCAACTATTTTGGCGAACTGTGCGCCGCTGTCGGCAAACAACTGATGCCGTATTCATCGGCGGTAAATGTTGGCCACTGCGGCGGCGACCAACCAATCAGTGTTGTCGACGTCGACAATAAATGGGACGGTATTTGGATATTAGACCAAAGATTAGACAAAAAAATAGCCGGATTTGTAAAAATGTCTAAATGTTTGCACGCGTTTCGCGCGCTCACCGAATCAGATCAACTGATTTTGTTGACAAAGTCATCGCTAAAGATGGAGATCTTGCAGATGATCAACATATTTGACTTTCAGGGCATGTATTGGTTGATTAGTTTTGTATGTAAACTACTAATTAATTAATTGATTAATTAAATGATTAGTTTTTCTTTAAAAAATAATATATTTTTTAAAAACTAATATATTTTTTAAAAACTAATATATTTAAAATATATATATTTTTTTAAAAACTAATATATTTAAAATATATATATATTTTTAAAAACTAATATATTTTAAATAAATATATATTTTTAAAAACTAATATATTTTAAATATATATATATTTTTAAAAACTAATATATTTTAAATATATATATATTTTTAAAAACTAATATATTTTAAAAAATAAAATATATATTCTAAAAAAATAATATATATTTCTAAAAAACTAATATATTTTTTAAAAATAATAGATATTTTTAAAAAACTAATAAACAATTTTTTTTGTTAATATACAGAATAATCAAAAAGTTAGAATAGGTTTGGATTTATTTCGTGAATTTCCGATAACAACAACAACAATGACAACCAAACCGCTAATAGATAATAGTATTTATGATAACTATAAGGAATTTATGTGTAATATTGGCTTAGATTGGGAATCGGATCCAGTAATCATTAATTTGGTAGTTATTTATTATTTATTAATTTATAATTAACTATATTTATACATATCATATATATATATATATATATATAAAATATTGCTTTACTAATCATATATAATTTTTTTGTTAATATATTTTAGTTAACTATAATAATACTATTTGATCCAAACCTACCTAATCTTGTAAATAAAAATTTTATTAAGTAAGTAATCATTAAAATATATATATATATATTTGTATATATTTTGTATATATATATCTATATATATAAACATAACTTAATAACTAATTGTTAATTGAATTATTATTTATATATATATTTTTTTGATTTTATTATAGATATTATCAAAATATTTATCAACATTTACTTCAACGATATCTACAAATAAAGTATAGATCCCGGAGTTTGTCTCAAACAAAACTATTGAGACTAAAACAATGTATGAAATTATTGGATAATTTAGGCAATAATATTAGATACCAGTGCTCTGTTAACAGCAATGATAGCAACAAACATAGGTCGCCACCACTTGTCTGTGAAATAATGTATTAATAATTTTTTTAAAAAAAATTTAAATAAATATTATTATTGTTTATTTAATATTAGTTTAATTAATAATAAAAAAATATTTAATATTAAATATTAAAACAAATATTTTACTTTAATTAAAAAATTATAAAAATTAATAATATAAAAACATTATTTTAAAAAAATAATTATAATTAAACTAAAAAAGTAAATTTTAATATGCTTTTCTAATTTTATTAACATTTAATAATAATAATGATTATTATAAATATAATTTATGTGTATATATTTATATATAACATTTTTATTTTTTATAATATAATTGTATATTTATATATAACATTTATATTTTTAAAAGTATTAAATATTTAATATAAAAAACAACCAAAATAATCAAAACATATGTATGATTAATTAGCAAAATATCCCCCCTGATTACTAACTTAAAATTATAACTTAATATCAAATGTTTTTTTTAAGTATTTATTGTATTATTTATTGTATTAATTAAATTATAAATATTTATTCAATTTAAACAATATACAGTATATAACATTAGAAATAATTATATTAAAATAGTTTATCATTAAAGAAATCCTACTAATGTAAAAGTAATTTTTATATATGTTATCTGTTTTTTCTGCGGCCCCCTCCACCCCCTCCAGTCGTTCAATGCACTGCAAGCATCCCGGATCAGCAGCAGCCAGTAAATTTACCTATAATAGAACAGCAAGAATCGATAGTCAATGAAAAAATAATCACCAATAGTGACAATTCAATTGAAGGTGTATTCACGACAACTATTATTACTACCGGCCGACCTCCGAAAATACTTGACCAATAAGAAGGCCAAAGAAGCGGGAAAAATTACAAACAGATTACAAACGACGACTTATAAAAATAGCAACGATAGGTATTATAGTTTATTAGTATTTTATTTTATTTTTGTTAGATATAAAATACGTAACCAATTTTTTTTTGTTATTTCAACCAATCAAAACATATTTGTATTAATCATTATAAGTGAACAGTCAGAAAGAACAGTCTAGTATTGAAAATCACGTCAATACACAACCAGAGACAGACACACATTTATAGATAACAGCAGGTATTATTATTATTATCGATTGTATTATAGTTTATTAGTATTTTATTTTTTTTGTTATAGAAATAAAATACATTACCAATTGTTTAATTTCAACCAATTAAAACGTATTAGATTTAAGCATTATAAGTGAACATTTAGAAAATTCAGAGACACAGCTATTGGAATTTTATAGTATTGAAAATCACATCAATACACAACCAAAGGCTGTTATAGACAACACCTATCCGACTAATGTAACAGTAATTTTTATACATGTTAGCTGTTTTTTCTGCGGCCCCCTCCAGTCGTTCAATGCACCGCAAACATCCCAGATCAGCAGAAGCCAGTAATTTAAGTTATAATACAACAGCAAGATAGACAATGAAAAAGTAATCACCAATAGTAACAATTCAATCGAAGGTGTACTCCCGACAACTATTATTACTTCTGGCAGACCCCGAAAATACTTGACCAATAAAAAGGCCAAAAAAGCGGAAAAATTTATAAACAGATTGCGGCTAAAAAATTCAAGAGATCGCAAACGACGACTTATAAATAACAGCATCGATAGGTATTATTATTATTATCGATTGTATTATAGATTATTAGTATTTTATTTTTTTTGTTATTTCAACCAATCAAAACATATTGTATTAATCATTATAATTGAATCAGAAAATTCATGGTCACAGCCATTGGAATTTACTAGTACGTCAATACCAGATGCAGAAACTGTTATAGACGACACCCATCCGACTAATGTAACAGTAATTTTTTTATATGTTATCTGTTTTTTCTGCGGCCCCTCCACTTCCCTCTCTGCATTCGTTCAATGCACTGTAAACATCCCGGATCAGCAGCAGCCAGTAATGTATGCTATAATACAACAGCAAGAATCGGTAGTCAATGAAAATTGTAATAATTTATGCTATAATGGTTTAATAGAAGAATTTATTAAACAATGTATAATAAATTCATTTCAACAATTTAATTTAGAATCTTATGATAGTGAAACAAAAAAAGCAATTATATAGAAAATAATGATCGTGAAAATAACTTGCAGATTGTTATATATAATTTTAAAAAATCGAGAAACTAGTTATAATATTTTGCTGAAAATTTAAAATTAAAAAAAACTAATAAAAAATCTGCGGAAAGCTAAGTCGCATATATTTATATTAAGTTATACTATGTAATCCATAGTGATTACACGATCATTAATGAATAAGATGAACCATAAAGACAGACAGACAGACAGAAAGACAGAAAGACAGAAAGACAGAAAGACAGAAAGACAGAAAGACAGAAAGACAGAAAGACAGAAAGACAGAAAGACAGAAAGACAGAAAGACAGAAAGACAGAAAGACAGACAGACAGACACTTAGAATTTTTTAAAAATAAATATAATTGACTACTACAAACAGACCCTCGAAAATATTTTACCAATGAGGAGACCAAAGAAGCGGAAAAACAGATTGGGCCAAAAATTCAAGAATTCGCAAACGACGTCATAGATAACAGCATCGATAGGTATTATTATTATTATCGATTATATTATAGTTTATTAGTATTTTATTTTTTTTTGTTATAGAAATAAAATACATAACTAATTTATATTTCAACCAATCAAAACGTATTAGTATTAAGCATTATAAGTGATCAGTCAGAAAATTCAGGGACACAGCTATTGGAATTTTATAGTATTGAAAATCGTGTCAATACACAACCAGAAGCAGAGACTGTTAAAGACGACACCCATCCGACTAATGTAACAGTAATTTATATATATGTTATCTGTTTATTCTGCAGCGCTATCAAACTCCTCCAGTCGTTCAATACACTGCAAACATACCGGAGACGCAGCAGCCAGAAAAGGTAGCTGTAATACAACTGCGAGAATCGGTAGTCAATGAAGAAGTAATACCAGATAATGACAATAAATCGAAGATGTATTCCCGACAACAGAATGCGGCCAAATAAACGCCTTCAGCTTAATGAAAGTAATGAAATCAACAACGCTGACGTAATCAATCAACATATAGTAAAACAAATGGCAGATCAACAAAAATTGACTGAATGATAAAAATAATAACTACTAAATGATAAAGCATCCAATAGGCTGAAGATGGCTTACATATACTGTGTATATAGTCATTACACGATCATTACTGAATAAGATACCATGCGATGGGTATAGAAAAAATATGATTTACTTGAAAATAGTATTATTTTTAATTAACATATGATTAGAGGTAATATATATACTAATTGCTCATCTATATCTAATTATACATATGATTTTTTATGATAAAATTAGTTATATTTTTAAGCAAAAAGATAATATTATAGATAATTAATAGATAATATAAACCTAACTTTATATTCTAGAGATGAAGTTTTATATCCAAGTTTAAAATTTAATACCCTAAATATAAAAACAAAAAATATAAATATATTTCATGTAGACTATAGTAAAACTGTTGTAAAGCATGATAAAGAATTGTATGATAATTTATGCTATTGTAATCTATGCGGATTGAGTAGGGATATGTGTATAAATAAATGCATAGTAAATTCAATGAATTTTTCTATAGAAACATCTAGTTATAGAGAATTTAGTAATGAATATTCCGATAGTTGTGCATTTAGTTGTAAACAAAAACAATTTTGAATCTTATGATTTTAAAACAAAAAGCTATTTTATAGATATCGATCGTGAAAATGACTTTCAGATAGTTATTTTCAATAAAAAACCAAGAAATTAGTTATTATACTGCATTGAAAATTTCTCATTTGTAATATATGCAAAACATTTCCAATACCTTTGAAGTTTATTTCGGTGCATCAATCATGACTATTTTTACACAATTCTATAAATAAATATTTAAATATTTTAAAAAATTATTATTAAAAAATCTGCGGAAAGCTAAATCGTCGCCTCAGTCGTCGCCTCTGTCGCCGCTTCAGTCGTTACCGATTCGTAAAAATAATATTAATAAATCGACTGCAATAATTTTATATAGTCAATATTCAGTATATAAAAACAACAACAATAATATAAAGGTTTGAATTTTTATTATTTTTAATATTTTTAATTATTTTTTTTATCATTAATTAATTAATTAATTTTATTTGTTTATATATTTATTTATTTATTTATATGACAGCTGTTTAAAATTTCGCAAAAATTTTAACTATCGAAAAGTTGCTTAAAATCGGGTAATATATACACAAATCATTGTAAATGATTTTTTTATTTTCAATATATGTGTACGGAATGGGATTCGTGATCCAGTTATTCATTGATATGGTATGTCATATATTGCTATATATATATATATATAAAGTGTGTTTCAATTTAAATAATCCAAACAAATGATAAGAAACCGGTTCAGTAAGTATTAACATACAAGTAGTGAAAAGGGGTCTTAAGATAGACATATGTTATTCATATTTTTACTGTTCATTCAATTGACATAATATTTTTTAAATTATAAATATTTGATTTGATTTGAGTAATTATATTTATTTATAAAATGAATGAAAATAATATTAATATTAATAATGTTAAAAGTGGCTATAAAACAGAAGTAGAGCGTATATTTATTGCTCATTGGTTTATGGAGCTTGATAAGATAACCAATTATCAATCTAGATATAAATATGTCCAGGATAACTTTGTCGAAAAATTTAAATATTCACCACCAAGTAATTATAATTTTAATTAAACTAAATATTTTAAACAATTGATAAAATAACATGTAATAAAAAAAACATTTACTAGTAATTATCCTAAAATAATATCTAAACTGATGAGTATATTATTATTAATCTTAATAAAAGTTACGTCTTTTATAATTGAATCAAAAAAAAAAAAAAATTTGTGGCATTACCGTAAATTATATAATTTTTACAATAAATATCAACATATGATTCAACAGTTTTTTTAATACCTACTTTGAAATTATTAACTTTTAAAGACAACATAGCGGATGATTATTAGTTGATTCGGTAGACAGTAGCTAAAAAACATATGGCCTCTGGCCTACTATATAGACTAAGAAGATTATATAATCAAAGTAGTGTTAAGGCGTGGTTCACATATTACGTTCGCACTTGAGGGGAGGGGGGGGGGGTTAGCCAAAGCGAGGGGGTTCGGGGAGGGGTAGAGATTTTAAGAACGTTTGCATTTAGATAATATCTTATTTCTTGTGGTGGGAGGAGGGGTAGCCGTTAAGGATAAGAGAACGTAATTTTTTTTAAAAAATGACTACATGCGAACTATTGCCAACATAGGTGAGGGAGGGGGTCTAGATTTTATTTTAAAAAAAAGTGCGAACGTAATATGTGAACAACGCCTAATCAAACTATATGAATGAAAATTTAATTAATCAATTAACAGTCGACTACCAGTTCGATAATAGATATACTGTTTTTAACCAACTATTTTTTTCTGAATTAATTTTTAAAAAGTTTTATTTGATTTTTATTTGATTTTTATTATTATTATTGTTTTTAAAATTTATAACATATTAATGTACATATGTTTAGTATGAATTGCTTTTTTGGGATTCATTGGATTTTTATGGAACTGATAGACAATACATATATATATATATATATATATATATATATATATATATATATATATATTACCGACAATCATACCAATCATGTTTGCCAATACATCTATGTAAATATTTTTTTTTAAAACATTTTTTTTCAATCATCTATTATATTTTATAATACATCAAATCTAATATACTTAGGGTTAGATTGAGATTCCCAGGGAGGGAAGTTCCCAAATAAAATCCCTCCAATTTTCCCGGAAAATATGGAAAATATATTATATTCCCTCCCTTGATCGTTAGAAAGGGAAAATATAATTTGTCATACATTAAAAAGTACCTAATCTCTCAATGACTATGTGTTTCAATTGGGACTATTATGTTAGTAATAACTCAATAAATCAAATTGTGATTCAAATAATATTAAACACTTAAAATTAAATACATTTTGTAGACATTTACTATACAAACGTGTTTTTAATTAAACATTATGTAAAGTGAGTTAGGGTACGATAGGTGGTACCACAAGGAAATGTCTTCCCAGGGAATTCCCAGGGAACAGGGAATATAAGGAACTTATGGAAAATAAGACGAGGGAGGGAATCTGATCTAACCCTAAATATACTATAACAATATTTATTTTCATAACTGTTGTAATTTATGTTTTATATTTTTATTGTTATTAATTAATTAATTAATTAATGATTATTATTTATTAAAATTTATATTTATGTTTATTTTCTTATGTAAAAAATATTTATTTTTAATTTTTGGTTTATTTATAAGTAGTTTTATTACTTTTATCTATATATTAATAGTGGCTTATATATATATATATATATATCATATACCTGAGCGCAATGAAAAATCAGTCGATTATACCCCGGGATAAAAGTTAAAATCAATAATATATATGCTTAGACTGGGAATCGGATCCACTGATCATTGATTTTTGTATATATTTAATTGAAACAAAAATAAATAAATAAATAAAGTTTTTGTATTGTATTTTTATAATAATATTTATAAACTATTCAAAATATTAATAATTATTTTATGATAATCTATTGAAAACTATTATTATTATTTTTTTTAACTATATATATATATATATATACCATAATATATACCATAATTAACAATATTAATACTATTGAATGCCTATATTTACATATAATACAATTGTATATAACAGTTATTAATTAATATGCTTTAAATACTCTCTCTCTCTCTCTCTCTCTCTCTCTCTCTCTCTCTCTCTCWCTCTCTCTCTCTCTCTCTCACTCTCTTTCTCTCTCTCTTTGTCAATATTATTATTATTATATATAATTTATATACTGTATAAACTGTAAATAGCAGGGTTGGAAAAATACAAGGTTTTCAATTTTTTCTTTGTAAATACAGTAAAATACAATGTACTGGATGTATTTTACAATTATAGAAAAATTAAATTAACAATGATAAAATATTTATTTTTTTATTAAAATTATTTTTATTGCATAATTTCAATATCGTTATTAGAATCGTTGTTTTCTAAAACTACTAAAAATTAATATTAATTATTTTATTAATATATTTCAATACCAGAATTAAATTGAATAGTTAATTTCAATTTTTTTTTTAATAAAAAGATAATTATTATTACAAAACATGTGTTTGTTTGTAAATCTTAGTATTTTTGTTACTAGGTGGCGCTAAAAAATTTTTGTAATCCAAAATTGTCATGTAATTTACATTGTATTATACTGTATAATACGCTTTGTATTATACATACACTTTGTCTCTGCCAACACTGGTAAATAGGCAATTTAATGTTAATATTTTATTAAAAATAAAATACTTAACCTTTTATTTTAACAAATTTTAAAAATGTTTTTGAATTAATTAAATATATATTTATATCTATACATCTATGTAATATTTTTATAAAAACATTTTTTTTCAATCATCAATTAAATAACATTTTATAATACATCAAATCTAATACTATATAAAATATTTATTAATAATTTATTTTATAACTGTTGTAATTTATGTTTTTTATTATAAATTAATTAATTAATAATAATTATTATTATTTACATTAGACTAATAATCTAATCTAATATCAATCAAGGTCATATTATTATTATTATTATTATTATTATTATTATATGTTAGTTTAGTTTAACATTTAAACAATTATTTTTATAATTAATTATTATTTATATATATTATATATATATTATATATATTTAATTTTTCGTTAATTTCTATTTAAATAATTAAAATTTATATAATATTCATAAATTTTTTTTTTGTAATTCATATAATAGTTAATCAAATAATAATAATAATTAATTAATTAATTAAATAAATTATTCAAATGGACGCCAATTACTTAAACAACAACATTAACAACAAAATATGTCTCATTTGTGGCGACAAATCAAATGGTGAATAATATTATTTTTGAAAATTAATAATAATTTATTTTTTATTAATAAAATAAAAATTAAATTAATATTTTTATATTATATATTTCTACAAACAATTAGGCTATCATTTCAATGCCATAACTTGCGAGTCGTGTAAATCATTTTTCAGGAGAAATGCATTAAAATATAAAGTTATTGGAAATTATTAGTTATTATTAATATTTTAATTTATTATATATAAAATATTATGTTTTTTTTATTTTAAATAATTAATTTTAATCATAGGATCGATACAAATGCTATTCGGGCGGCAATTGTATGATAACTGTTGACAATCGGATCAAATGCAAGAAATGCCGACTCGACCGGTGTTTTTCAGTCGGTATGAAAACTGTATGAAATATTTTTAACGAATAAATATAACTATTTTTCTTAATTGACTAATTAAACCAATTATTTACTAAAATAATAAATTTTTAAACATTTTTTCTCTGTCTCTCTGTCTCTCTGTCTCTCTGTCTCTCTGTCTCTCTGTCTCTCTGTCTCTCTGTCTCTCTGTCTCTCTGTCTCTCTGTCTCTCTGTCTCTCTGTCTCTCTGTCTCTCTGTCTCTCTGTCTCTCTGTCTCTCTGTCTCTCTGTCTCTCTGTCTCTCTGTCTCTCTGTCTCTCTGTCTCTCTGTCTCTCTGTCTCTCTGTCTCTCTGTCTCTCTGTCTGTCTCTCTCTGTCTCTCTCTCTCTCTCTCTGTCTCTCTGTCTCTCTCTCTCTGTCTCTCTCTCTCTCTCTCTCTCTCTCTCTCTCTCTCTCTCTCTCTCTGTCTCTCTGTCTCTCTCTCTCTCTCTCTCTCTCTCTCTCTCTCTCTCTCTCTCTGTCTCTCTGTCTCTCTGTCTGTCTCTCTCTCTCTCTCTCTCTTTCAAACAGAACTTATTCTTTAGTGAACAACAAAAACAATTGCGAAAACAAATTATTGAGAAAAATAAAAGACAACAGAAAAATGACATCTCTTTCGATGTCTCTAATTGTTGGTCACAACCGACTGAAACAAGTGATTGTTGTCCAGAATATACAATCACCAGTTCTTCCAGTTATTGTTCATCAGATGACAGAGTTGTTGATGTCGTCAGTGAACAGACAAACAGTGGACAACACAATGAGTTGTTATTATTGTCGACAGATGTGTCGGCCGTTGCCGCCGCCGCCACTTCTGTTGCTGTCGATGATGGCATCAATTCATCGATTGTCGGCCACTCGTCCTCATCATCACTGAGCACAGGGATCGTCGCCACCAATCAGTCTACGACTACAACTATTATGAAACCCATTACCGATTATAGCAATCAGTTTAACGAACTCGAGGCCAATAAGTTGACTGAACTGTTGGATGCCATGAAACTAATACAACAACAGGAAAAGTCCAGTATTTTTGTTGATACCGGAGCTACTGCTGCTGATGCCGTACCTAATCATTACAATATCAATGTTGTCGACAATTTTATGCAAGCATTTCGACTATTGATGGCTAATCTGAACAAAACAATGCCTAATATCATTAAAATGGCCAAACGTTTACAATGTTTTACTAATAATAAAACTAATAGCAGTTTAATCACAGAATCGGATCAATTAATTTTGTTAAAGTATTCACTATTCGAGATACATGTGCTCAGAAATATTCAATCATTTAACTACCAGGGTCAATATTGGACACAATGTATTGATGATAATGTAATTTTTGCTTAATAATGCTACTTTACTTTAATATTTTTATGTTGCTATTTTATATTTATGTTTTTTTTTAAATATTTATTTTTTTGTCTATTTATAGGACACTATCAATGGTGGCTTATATATCATATATCTGAGTGTAATGAAAAATCAGTCGATTATACCCCGGGATAAAAGTCCGTACGATAATCACGAAAAGTTTATCAATAATATGGGCTTAGACTGGGAATCGGATCCACTGATCGTTGATCTGGTATTTAATAAATTTAATTTAATTTATAAAAACTTTTGTTTAAACTAAACTTTTCTTATATAATAGTAATTTTGTCTTTTTTTGTATTGAAAATATTTATATACTGTATATACTGTAGTTAACAATAATAATACTATTGAATGCCAATCGACCGCAACTACAACATAAACAATTGATTAAGTATTATATAAAAAAAATATTTTTATACTAATTTTTGATTTTTTTTTAACAAATTGATTAGTAATTTCTATTTTATTTATTTTTTTTGTTGATATAAACTATATTAGACAACAACAGCTAACATATATCTATCTATTGAAACGTTATCTATCGATGAAATATAAGTCACAATTGCTATCCGATGCTAAAGTCAAACGACTTTTATCTAATTTATGTGAACTTAATATAATTAACGATAAAATATCAGTGGCTTCGCATAGATTTGATATCCAATTATTTCCGCCATTAGTTAGGGAAATACTATTTGATCGTTAATTTTACTAAAAATTATTGATTTTTAATATTAATTTAATTTTAATTTTATCAATTGATGATCATTCATGCATTTGATTATGGCGTTTATAAATATAATAATAATAAAATATTAATTTCTAAGTGTTAAAAAAAAGATTTTTTTTTTTAAATATAAATTATTATGTTATTATGTATTTTGTTTATTACTAATTTAATAATATAATAGTATAAAGACTTAATTATAAGTTTTTTAATAATTATTTTATAAACATATTTATAGATTTGATATCCAATTATTTCCGCCATTAGTTCGTGAAATATTATTTGATCGTTAATTGTAATAATAATTGTTAATTTTAATATTAACTAATAAATATAATCATAATAATAATAATATATAATTTAATGATTGATCGATTAGATTCATGTATTATTTGTATAATTTATAATCACTTTGCAAAAAAAATACAAACTATTTTCTAAAATTTATTATTATTATTATTATTATTATTAGGATTTTGTATTATTTTTTATATCAATAAATTAATAAATATTAATATATTTAAAGTTATTTATATTTAAAAAATAATATATATAAATTAATATATAATACTATATATATATAATAAATACTATATAAATTTTAATAAAATAACTAAGTATAATAATAATAATAATAATAATAATAATAATAATAATAATAATAATAATAATAATAATAATAATAATAATAATAATAATAATAATAATAATAATAATAATAATAATAATAATAATAATAATAATAATAATAATAATAATAATAATAATAATAATAATAATAATAATAATAATAATAATAATAATAATAATAATAATAATAATAATAATAATAATAATAATAATAATAATAATAATAATAATAATAATAATAATAATAATAATAATAATAATAATAATAATAATAATAATAATAATAATAATAATAATAATAATAATAATAATAATAATAATAATAATAATAATAATAATAATAATAATAATAATAATAATAATAATAATAATAATAATAATAATAATAATAATAATAATAATAATAATAATAATAATAATAATAATAATAATAATAATAATAATAATAATAATAATAATAATAATAATAATAATAATAATAATAATAATAATAATAATAATAATAATAATAATAATAATAATAATAATAATAATAATAATAATAATAATAATAATAATAATAATAATAATAATAATAATAATAATAATAATAATAATAATAATAATAATAATAATAATAATAATAATAATAATAATAATAATAATAATAATAATAATAATAATAATAATAATAATAATAATAATAATAATAATAATAATAATAATAATAATAATAATAATAATAATAATAATAATAATAATAATAATAATAATAATAATAATAATAATAATAATAATAATAATAATAATAATAATAATAATAATAATAATAATAATAATAATAATAATAATAATAATAATAATAATAATAATAATAATAATAATAATAATAATAATAATAATAATAATAATAATAATAATAATAATAATAATAATAATAATAATAATAATAATAATAATAATAATAATAATAATAATAATAATAATAATAATAATAATAATAATAATAATAATAATAATAATAATAATAATAATAATAATAATAATAATAATAATAATAATAATAATAATAATAATAATAATAATAATAATAATAATAATAATAATAATAATAATAATAATAATAATAATAATAATAATAATAATAATAATAATAATAATAATAATAATAATAATAATAATAATAATAATAATAATAATAATAATAATAATAATAATAATAATAATAATAATAATAATAATAATAATAATAATAATAATAATAATAATAATAATAATAATAATAATAATAATAATAATAATAATAATAATAATAATAATAATAATAATAATAATAATAATAATAATAATAATAATAATAATAATAATAATAATAATAATAATAATAATAATAATAATAATAATAATAATAATAATAATAATAATAATAATAATAATAATAATAATAATAATAATAATAATAATAATAATAATAATAATAATAATAATAATAATAATAATAATAATAATAATAATAATAATAATAATAATAATAATAATAATAATAATAATAATAATAATAATAATAATAATAATAATAATAATAATAATAATAATAATAATAATAATAATAATAATAATAATAATAATAATAATAATAATAATAATAATAATAATAATAATAATAATAATAATAATAAGAGAGGCACAGTGGTGTAGTGGTTAGTGTGTAGGGCTAGTAGAGTAATGGAGAGTAAGATCGTGAGTTCGAGCCCTGATGTGGAAAGCAATTTTTCTGAGAAAAAAAAAATTGTTTTAACTGTGCTTCCCGTCCCTGCCCAACCAACGCTGTTTAGGACGGCCAACTTAAGTAGTATGGGGAAAGCGGGGTGCTAAGTGAGGACGAGTTTCTGCCCGACCCGGGTATCGGTACTTCGGTATCGGTGCCCACCTGGGGGTACCCGCAAGGGTGCTCCCACCCGGGGGTGCCTGTAAAAAGGTGCCCCCACCCCGAAGGGACGTCCGCAAGGATGTCCCTTCACCCTTCGAGTAGTTACTCGTCCTCACACGCAATGGCCACTTTTGTTTCAAAAAAATAAAAATAAAAATCCTATTTCAACAAACACATGTTAGTGGTGAGAAATGGGTGGCAATAGACACATGTTAGTGTTGAGCTTTCTCTAGGGACCGGGACCCCGTAAAAAGGCCACAAAATATATAAATATGATTACACGTAGTCGTAGGAATAACGGGGGGTGTTCGGGAGGTACCCTCTCAAATAAATCCCGCGTTCAGCAGGTAGGCATTGACTGCTGTTCGTTAAGTATGCATCATATCCCACGCAGTGATGTGCTATGCGGGCAAAGCTGTGATGTAATGCGACCGCAGACTAGTCAACAAAATCAGACTAACCTCCAAAATGTTTCAGTTCAAGCTGGTTCTCAGCAACAACTGACCAATTTGGTTGACAAATCGCAAAAGCGCATGAGATGGACACATGAGATGAATACCTTGATAATGCGCGAATACTACAGATCAACTCGACTCGAAACAAATATGACTGATTACAGAAACCAAATATACTTAGCATTCAAACAAAAATATCCAGAACTAAATGTAACGGAACAAAGAATTGCAGACCAACGGCGATTCTTAGCAAAGAATAATAAAATATCCCCGATTGAATTACAAGAAATCAAACAACAAGTGGCACATGAACTATCATTAAATGAAACAACTGAATTAAATACCACAGTAGAAGTAGTGCCAGAAATAGAAGAGACACCTACAACAACAGATAACATAAACAATACAAATGATGAAATAAAAAGAATAACAGCAGAAAATGAACTAAAAACATCTTTAGAACAATATAAAGACTTTGAAATAGAATTCAGACCTAAATTACCAAAAATAAGAAGTGGCATTAAAACAAGATCTACTATAATAACGATAAATGATATACTTAAAGATTACATCGAAGAAAATATGTCGTTGAGCGCAATTAATACAATAACGTATTGTGCAGCAGTAGCAGTATCGAGACTCTTAGGCTACAAAATAGAACACATGTCTACAACAAAACCAAATCAAGAAAATGTAATACCTAAATGGCAAAAGCGAATAGATACACGGATAGAAGGGAAAAGAAAAATAATTGGAAGAATAACGCAAGTGTTAAATGGAATCAAATCAAAAAGACTTAACCAATCATTAAAAGATATATACCGATCATTACAGACAAAACCTGGAAAACCTGAATTTGAATCCATAATCCGAAATTACAACGACACATTAAAACAAACAGTTCAAGCACTATCACAAAGAATTAGAAGATATAAAATACAAAGCGAAAGACGAAAACAAAATACAATGTTCTATAATAACGAAAAAATGTTCTATAGAAATCAAAATAAAATAAATTCAAGCAATAATAACAATACACCACAAATAGATGAAATAGAAAACTACTGGAAAGAAATCTGGAGTAACCCAAAGGAATATAAAGAATCTAATTGGATAAATGATATTGAAGATGAAAATAAAAAAATACCACATATGACTTCAGTAAATATAATTAAAGATGACTTAACCGAAGCCCTCAATAAATCCCACAACTGGAAAAGCCCAGGACAAGACAAAATACAAAACTTCTGGTATAAACACTTTACAACAGTTCATCAACCAATGGCAATAGCAATGAATAAAATAATACAAACAGGACAAACCGATGACTTCCTCACTTCCGGAATAACATATCTACTCCCAAAAACAGAAAATACATCAGATCCCAGCAAATATAGACCAATCACTTGCCTAACAACAATGTATAAAATCCTAACATCCATAATATCAACAAAAATATATAATCATTTAAGTAACAACAACATAATAGC